CCAAGGCCATGATCGTGTCCTGGTCTGCCCGGAAATCCCCCCTCTCCCCCCGACTTTTTCTGGAGTTGCGCCTTTTCTTTATTCATATTGCTCCGGGATACAAACTGTGTCTCCGTAGATTAATCATCGCATGCTTGACATTTCCAACTCGATTCGGCCACCAGGTCTCTTCCTTGTCGCCCGAGTGCGGCAATTAGGCCCTCTTGCGCAAAGGCCCGACTCTGCTCTGTGTTTCTCGGGGTTTCCTTGGAACAAGGAAATTTGTTATCGATAGTTGCCATCGCTTCAATATCCTTTGGCTGCCGCAATCAATACTTTGCCATACATAGTAACCTCCTTTTCGCATACGGCATCGACATCGGATATTGAGTTACCTAACCCTGGATCAACAATATAGCTCGTTACTCCTCAATATGTGAGTTGCATTCACTTGCTACTAGGAGAATGGCCAAAACAACAAGGTAAGCCACTCCCGTAAGTTGCAACATACCTTACCTTACTTGGGTCCCTTACTTCGTACCTTACGCTGGGCCAAGTACGTAAGCAATTAACTCGATCCCAGACCTTCATCCGCTTCACCTCACCTCGGGGTGTGTGTCTTCTACGGTCCACGGATACCCAGGCTCTGAACGTTACCTCCCGCCCTCGTGTCCGCTCCTGTCCTCCACTCTCCGACTTCACGTCGTCACCACCCCCGTGCCAACCCTCGACGTGACCGGACTACGCTCCGATCGCATCTGGCTCGGGAGACGGCGCGAGCGACTCTTCCCTTTCCGCCTCGACATGCAGGAAATCGCATCGGACGGCCTGCTTATCCCTCGGCATCCGTGTGCGTTGCCATCTGATGATTGACCGCTTTGGTGCTTGGGCATCGCACCGCACCCGCACCCGCACCGTACAGCACCGCATCTCACCTCACCTCGCACGCAGTCGCAGTCGCACAGAGGCAGTCAGTTGCTTGGCCCATGTGGCCACCGCTCTGTCAGACCCCAGCCTACAAACGCTTCTTAACAGCCACATTCGTCCGCCGCTGCAGCCGTGGGTCGAAGCTTCTGAGGGCTACTGCAGCCACTGCATACTCTCTGCATGCACCCGGCCGTGATCCCTTCTCTTTGCCGCCCCAGTATCTGTATGTACGGAGTACAGACGACAGCCTATGAATACACAGTACTGGCCACCAAGATCAAGACCTGCACCTCGACCGAGACCATTCGGAAGACCAGTAGAGAGCATACACTGCAAGCTAGATGCACAACCACATCCAGACCGAGCCAAGGTCGTTGTCGAGGCCCACATACCAAGCCAGGCCGTTACTGGCGACTGCATGGCATTGTATTCGTACCTTGAATCCTCTGTACCTTGCCGCTCGATGAATGTGCAGTGAGGTCAGGAAGGCAGGCGGTCAGCCGCCCATCACCCGCCCTCGTCCTCATCCTCGTTCTAGTCCCTCCACCACACAACGGCGCCCGGATCCATGTCGGTACGTGGAAGTAGCAGTTCAGGTACCTTGCACAACCGGCCTAACGCCGACAAATGGGAAGCTAGAACGCCCTACCTGACCTTGACTGCTGATGCTTCTGCGTCGGCTGCCGCTGCTACTTGCTCTTCTGCTGCTACGCTACGGCTAAGCTACGCTGCGCTACCCTCGAAGCTCCTCGGGAGCCAGTGCTACTGTGCCGCGGGACTAACAGTAGGTAGTGTACCGTTCAAAGTATGTACTGCGTGCGTGGAAGAGTGAGAGGGGCAGGGACGAGAGATAGGTACACTACTCTCGCGCCGGGTGGTCTCGTCCTGTCCTGTCAAAATAACCAGGACGATGCTGACTATCGCAATTCAGGCCGCCTTCGATCGTCTCGCAATACACCTCGTCTCGTGTCCAGGACCTCTTGCCGTTGATTACCTTGGAGCACGGGAGCCAAGATTACGCGTCTTTCCCATCTTTTGCTTGATGAGACGGGCTGCCTCTTTTTCTCATATTTCCCAGGGACCCCTTTCTTCGTGTTTGTTTGGAAGAAGGGGGACGGGGTATCCGAGCGCCCCCAATTGTCAAGAGGCAGATATCCGCACCCAGGCTATTCGCGAGAGAAAAGACGCGAGGGGGATTGGCAACAAGTGCAAGAAGAATGCAGCTCTGCAGGTTACCTTAGCGAATAGGTAGTGGCCATTTCGGAAACGGAGATTCTAGCTACCTTACCTACATTACCTACCTTACCTTAGGTATGCACAGCTGTCCCAGGTACTTTAGCAGCAGCACGATGCCAATGATGCGATGCGACTGGTTCGTGGGATTCCGGACGCGGCACCTTGGAGCAGTGAGTGGGTGGGTTGTGCACCTGCGCGGGCGGCGGGACTACGGGGACAAAAAGTAGAGGGTACGTACTCCTACTAAGGTACGTACCTACCTTACGGACAGTCAGGTACGTATTGCCCCGTGGACAAGCCCGCGGCCGGGTTCTATCAACTGCCATGATGAGGACCGACCCTCAACCCTGCGCCTTTTTGCGGACCCCTGGCCGCGGGTGCGGGCACAGACTGTTAGCTTCCCCTTTCAGGAACTTCTCCCACGAACATGCCTGGGCGCCTCCGCATTTGTGCCTCGCTCTATTTTTTGTGTGCTATTTTTTCTCTCTTTCTCTCTCTCTTGCGTGTTTTTGCTTCTTCGTTTCTGTTTCTCTCTGTGCGTTTGTACCTATCCTTCTCTCTTCACATATTGCGGATACTCTTCCATGTTGTGTTGTGGTTCTCTTTTTTTTTTTTTTTTTTTGGGCCCCCTCCTCTACTTCCTTGACACACCCACATCTTACCACCCCGTCACCCGTGCTCCGAGTTTCTCTTGTTCGGATTATTGACAAGTCGTCAACCTTGAACCCTTCCTTTACCTTCGCTTTGTCATAATATTCTCGCAATTCTTGTATACTCGCAAGAGCCGGACACGAAGAGGAGGAGAAAGGAGGAGTCGGGAGATTACCTTTGGTCCATAGGGTCACTAGCGCCCATGTACCTATGTAAGTCATAACGGATCTCCATATGAGTCTAATCATGCGCAGTGAGGCTTTGAGAGATGCAACCGCAAGCATCGCGAGTCGTGGTCACGCATTCGATATACCATGGATTCAGGCATCTTGACCGACCGGCTCAATTACCTTCCTCTTTCCTCCTCCTTACGGATACCCTTGACTTGGTCAAGAAAAGCGATCCCTCTGGTTTCTTGCTTCCTCGATCTGCGGCCTCTTCCCACCCACACCCCTCGTTTTTTGCATGTCTCTCAGCGAGCAGTGAGCAACGAGGTTGTCTTCCCGACCGATTCGAACCCGGCATGTGCCTGCTCTGGCGCGTCTTGATTCCCAGGAGAGTCATGACACTTGACGGCAGAGCCCGAACAAAAGAAAAGCAGAGTTGCGACACCTGAATGCTTGAACGAACCGCGCCGTTGACAGCCTTGCTTTCGGGGAAACACCCCTCCCCTCCTTCGCCGTTGTTCGGCGAAAAAATAAGGACAGACTCAGAGACATTGCCTCTTGTCTGGCCAGCCTGCCAGCAAAAGCCTCAGTCAGGCGCCTGTGTCTATTATATTAACCCTCTCTTAATATTGCCTGCCCACTCCACCATACCCGGACAGGGATGTTGGAACTGGATGTGTGCCCCAAGCGAGTTGAACTCGGCCCCTGGCCTCCAGCAATCTCGTGAACCGATCCCCCCCCCTCTCACCCTCCCTCTCCCTCTCTCTCACTCTCACTTTCACACACTCACACCCCCTTAGCCCCTACACCTTTCCACTTCCTGACTTCGTCGGCGTCTCTGCCCAACGGTCTTCTAGAAAAATTGCGGGCCAGTAGCCTACAACAACTGTCGGAGGATTCTCTCTCTAGTCTTCTTATCGAGCGACACCCCCCTCTTCAACCCCTGGACATTTCGCCATGATGCATCCATTGGTCAAGACGAGGGTCTTGGGGCATTTCCAGCCTACGATTTCTCCTCGAGAGATGCTCCCCCGTGCCTCCGTACGATCCATGCCAGGTTCTTCTCCGTCCCTCCATCTCGACAGAACTACGTACCGCATATGCCACCCTGCTCACCAGGGTCAGTAGTGCCAACCCTGAAGGCTTGCCGTCAACTCTCTTCCATGTCTTTTGCTCCTAGCGATACCAGTTTGTGCAAGGGACTTGTTCACGCCTCCGGCAGAAGCGGGGGTGTGCTAGAGGGGAGGAGAGAAAAAGAGTGAGAGAATGTGTGTGTGCATGTGCGCGCGCGTGTCTTTGAGGGCGACCGAGTGAGAGGGGAGGAAGAGAAACAGAGAGTGAGTGAGTGTGTATGAACGGTACGGTACGGTACGGACAGAGAGAGAGAGAGAGAGAAAGTGGGTGTATGCCACTGTCCAACTGGGGCCATTCAACCCGTACGTATCCATGAGACCTACGTAGCTATGCATCTTTTCCCTCAGGTATCGTATGTGTGTCTATGTGCGGGTGCGGGTAATGAAGACAAGACTGGTCTTGGATGTGCGAATATGCGTCGGCTGGTTCTACTTGTTCGTAAGTGTGTTTGGGCGAATAAGCGTTTTGTGATGCGCTGTTTCTCCATCCCCCCGGAGCTCGCCCGTCATGTTCACTCTGTGGTCTTGCTCACACTAACAACTCACTAAAACTAAGGTAAGGTAAATATTGCGTACCTTTGCTTGGACGGGCCAGTAGTCCGTATGCAAATTCATAAACCAGAGCTACACTACTGCAACAGCAGCAAAAGGCCCTGGACCTGGTATCCTGAACTGTGCTCGTTTGCTCTTATCAAACCGTTTCAGTGCCGCCCCTCGTCCTGGGCCCTCGTCGATGACCTTGTCTTCTTTCTTCTCCTCCTCCTCGTCTGCTCCTAGTCTGCCAGTCTGCGAGTCTGGGTCTACGACGGCCTGCGTATGTACTACTGCTTCTGCGTGCTGCGTCCTGCGTGCCCCCTTCCCTTCCCTTCCCTTCCCCATAGCGCCGCCTTCTAAGAAGGGTATTTCCCTAAACCTGGTCGCCGCTCTGCAGGGCGCATCCATACTCCATCGTCGTAGCTCCATAGCGTGCCTTGTTCTTCCGCTCACCAGATCGCCCGCTCCTCACCTTTCTCCTTCCCAGTATGGTTGCATGCACTGACCGTCCTGTCCAAGAACCCGCCGTCACGTTGTACCGGTGACCTTGCCTTTGCCGCTGCCGCTGAAGAAGGCACAGGTCAACGGCCCAGCAGGAGGGACATCCCGTTGAGACATCAACTGGCTGCTCGACTCGACTCCGACTCGACTCGACGCAACCTTGACCTTGAACCTCGACCTTGCCTTGGCTGGCCTCCCCCAGCCCTGCCCCATCATTGTATCCACCCCAGAACAGTGCCGAAGATTTTCATCAGACACCCCCTCCAACATCTACCGTCCTCTTGCGACCCATCCACCCCATCAGATACAAGTATACATCTCTCCCTGCAACCTTAAACATGACCGTCGTCCGTTGATCCTCAACTTCATCTTTGCATCTTCTGCATCTCTCGAGTCTTCGCCATCACTCCTCGAGATCAAATAACACACTCGCTCATCCCTCCCTCCCCTTCGCTTTACCAATCCCAACCTCTTTTGGTCAAGACGACTTACATCAACAACATACACGCCCTTGTTGACTACCAAGCAAGGACTTCGACATATCCTTGTGTAAAGTACACACGGAGACCAGAGACAAAGCAAGAAGAAGAAGAAGAGTGACAGAAGCGCGCTTGGGTCTGGAACAGGACTACAGCGCATCAGAGAGGCATGCTCTAATGTCAACCACGGTCACTTACCCCGTCATGGCAGAGCTGAAAGAGCCGGCACATTCCAATCTTTGGTCGAACTATGGGAGTCCCGTCCAAATGTCGTCTCGATTCAACAACAGCCTGGATTCCGGCCTCGGAGGCCACGCCGCCAACTCACCACACGCGGGACGCCCTAGAAGCACCCACCCGAGTGTAGACCACGGATCTTATCCCTATGGTCGCTACCCTCAAGACGAGTCCGATGCGTACGACAGACATTCGCATCCCAGCTTGACATCCCACCACAGCTTCCCCAACCTCAAGAGACCCTACTCGCAAACCGAACAGCCCCCTTACCAGGAGATTGTCCAGGACCTGAGAGACGATGGCTCCAAACTTACCGTCAACCACGACCACAAGCTGCTGTCCTTCAAGAGGGTACAAGACAAGCACACTATTGTCGACCAGCATGGACGCATGCAGCAGCTGGAGCTCTCGGCTCAGCTGCACGGAATGTTCTTCCTTTCCGAAATGCCAGCCAACAGCACAGACGGTTCCATCCTCCAGCCCGAACTGACCTGTTACCGACGAAACCTCTTCCAGATTAGCGGCTCTCTCATCACCCCACGAGGCCAGCTCTCTGTTATATCCGAGACTGGCGAGACGGTCCCCGTCAGCAACACTGAAGTGACCATCTCTGCCATCGAGTCTGTCGATGGCCACCCCGTCCGACTTATCGTCATCCCCTGGAAGACGCCCCCACCCAACTCTCCCGAGATCACCCAAACCCCGGACCAGGAGCCAGCGTCGCTTCCCCTTATCCCCTTCCAAGAAGACGGTTCGGAATCCGATGGCGAGTATGCCGTTTATCCCATTGGCTGGCGCCGACTGCAGTTCAGAATGTGAGTATCAACCCAACACAGGCGCACTTGCGCGCAGACGTGACGAATTTCGGCTGATTTGACAAAGTGCCACTGCAAACAACGGGCGGCGAAAGGAACTCCAGCAACACTTTGTGCTCCACCTCAAGGTTGTTGGGACGTTGGCCAACGGAAGCAAGATTGTGCTTACTGAGGCAACTACCGCGCCTATTGTTGTCCGGGGCCGCAGCCCTCGCAACTTCCAGGCAAGAAAGGAGATTCCCTTGCTAGGATCGAGCGCTGGCTCCAGGGGCCAGGCCTTGGTTGAGACTGGACTGGGTATTGTGGCGGGACCGTTGGCTATCAAGCCGCAGGATGCCAAGGCAAGAGGGTTGGACATGCAGATGCCTCGTTCCGCCTTCACCTTCAACGCAGGAGGGCCCAAGATGCCCGGAGCACCCATGGGAGCCATGAGATCCAAGTAAGCTAACCCCCCCCCCCCCCCTTCCATCCAGAGTACATGTCCATCACTTGATCGACATTGTTGCGATACGAAGCCCGGTCACTGACCCATCGTAGCTCATACCCCAACTGGTCCTCCTCCAACTCTGTGCCCGGGATGCCACAACTACCACCAGCTGGTTCGGCAAGCTACCCCGCTACGACAATGGGAGAATCTTACCACAAGGTTGCTCTGCCGGGAAGTGCAAGCTTCGGTGGAGAGGCCCATGACATGCCTTTGCAAACGTCGATGCCTTCCGTTCAGCTTTCCCTGGTCGCCAACGAACAGCAACAGCCTCCGATCAGGACACAATACGCTTATGTGCAAAGCACAACTGCTCCGCCACCACTATCGGTATCGGCAACGGCAATGGCATCGAGCTCAGACAACGCGCTCAACGTGCCTAGATACGTCGATAACCCCCGACCTACCAAGAGCCCTAGGCACGCAAGCCAGCCTTCCATCGGGTCAATGTCTCATCACGAGGCATCCCCGGAGTACCGGTACGGCTCGTCGTACGGAGCAGTGGGCAGCAACCCCAGCGATATTGCACCGCCATCCTACAAGGCTGAAGCCCCTGCGTCACACTCCAACCCCTCTCGAGACTACTATCCGCCATCGAGTTCATGGACCACAACAGCTGGAGAGCCTACCTCGACTGTTGCGTACAGCAGCAGTGAGGCGAGGCCGTATGGCTTCCCTGAGCAATACTCGAGCGGAGGCTCTGCGCCAACCACCAAGCAGGAGCATGCTCCCGCTCCTCCAGCCCCTGGGTCATACAGCAGCGCCCACCGGGGATCATTTGATGGCATGAACCATTATTCCTGGAACACTAATTAGCTGCGAGAATTACTGATTGGCGGCTGGGTCACGCCACTTGTCTCCAAACATGAGGGGCAATAATAGGTCGGGCCGAACGATGCTTGAGTTGAGTGAAGCAAGATTTGAGGGCCGAACTTGTTTCCGGGCCTGGCACAACAGCCCTGACTGTGTACCACTAAAACTTCAATTCGTGGCCAGAAGAGTGATTGCGGTTCGGATTCGACTTTTTATCTTCAAGTACCTAGGCGCGATATTTCGATTCTGGATCGCTGTCGAGGCGGGGGATTTACACCGATTGCAATACGGCATATCCCACGGTTAAGGAGGTTTCCCTCTGGCGGTTGCCATTCATGGCTCTGCTCGGCATGGGCGTGATTTTTTTACAAGGTCTCATGACAGACCGGACCCGAGCATAATTTGGGTAGGCGCAGCAACGACATGGTCGAGATCGGCGTCAAGAGACGGGCATTGTCTGGGTGGCTGGGCATTTCGATACCACACGGAAGATAGCATTGACGTCGAATGCTCCGGCCGGACGCTTCTATCACCGGCTCCGGGCCGTGCTGCGACATTGCGTGGGCGGGTTACTTAACGATATGTATGGTATTTCTTGGTTTTTTGTTGAGCGCCGGGTACCGGACGGGGAAAGCAATGAAAGGCATTGTGGTCTTTACTCGGCATCCTTGGTCCCGAATGCGCCAACGTTGGCAAATTGTGTTGCCTGTGAGAAGGAAAGGGTATTGCGGAAAGAAAAAAGGACAAAGCCACAAAGGGCTCAGCCTCGAGGATGGGACGACGTCCAAAGTGAGATGGTCCTGGGCTTGGTAGCCTTGCCCCAACTATGTGGTTGGGTCCCGCCACCCACACCTCGGAGAGAGTTCGTCTGATTTACCCGGGACGGAACCAAACGGTTGGGTCCTGGCATGGGAAGGCACCGGCGGTGTGGAAACGGATGGCGGTTGAGTGCTGGTTGGCTGGACGTCCGCCCAACGTGGTGGCGTTCCTTCTGTGCGTGGTTTCTCGGACTCTTGACGAAATTTTTTTTGTGATTTTGATTTGCTAGAGAATGAGGAAAGAGATGGTTTCGTGGAGGAAGGGAGAGAGAGAGAGAGAGAGAGAGAAGGAATAGTAAGAGAGAGTGCAAGAGGCGAGAAAATAGGCCAGAAAATGCGCAAGCAAGCAAATAGGCAATGAATAAGCATCCATTCCAGCCCCGAAACCCCACGTTGACTCTCTTCTCATCCAGGTTCCGGTGTCTGATTGGGGATAACCTCCCCAGAGCTCGTATTCGAAATAACTTTGGTGGTTCACAATGAGCAGAGAGACGGATACGGGCACCAGGCACCGGGCACCGGGCACGCGGGTCATTTATGTGTTTGGTCCACCAAGTCAACCTACCTCGATCGACTGTTGGTGCACGACACATACACACATGGGGAAATCAGCCACCGACTTTGCTTGGGTTGGATTGGGACCTTTGACCTCTCCACCCCCCTACTTCCCAGCACTCACCTACTTAGTTGTATGAGGTGTCTGACCATCTCTTTTCATATTCTACGGAGGGGAGATTACCACCACCACCACCACCGTCCGGCGGCGTTCTACGATCCCACGTCCCACACACACGGCGCGGTCACGATCACACCTTGGCTAGTAGTACTTTTTACCGTTGGTCCGTTACGCACGAGTCTAAAAGGTGCGGGCGGGCGGGCCACTGCGGCAGGCCCGCTCAGCTGGGAATTTGGATGCCAATAGTGTGATGGGGGGATTTGGGGGGGGGGGGGGGGGTCCTAGTGGTGCGTTGGCGCTGGTGCTTGGGATAGGACGGAATGAGTGCGCTTTGGGCGGAAAGATACTGCTTTTGCTTGTCTTGTTCTTTTGTTGTATTTGTTATTACTTTTGATTCGGTCCGGGGTTTTTATGTTGTACAGCGCATGTGAAGGAGGAAAGAAGCTGTAGAATGCTGCCGGTTTGGCAAAGAACAGGAACGGAAAGCGAGAGAGCGAGAGAGACACACACAGAAAGAAAGGGAGGGAGGGAGCCCAGAAGGAAGGAAGAGAATACGAATGGGTTTGGTTTTTTTCTGTCACTTTGGTCCAAACACTCTAGCCCCGAATCCTTCGTGATGAGAATCCACAGAGACTTGACCGCTTTGAGAGAAAGAGAGAGAGAGCAAGAAAAAGAGAGAGGCACTTTTGGTGGGATGTTTGTTGGATCCTTTTTTTGGTTTTCCATGGAGTCGTATTCTCTGATGTTAGCCCACCACCATCTAAACCAATACTACGTACCAGATTGCTGTGATACGCTGGCATAAGGTAAGGTACTGTTGGTAGGTAAGGTAAGGTATCTTTGTCATTTTCCCACTTACGCAACCCACGTAAACCCACGCGAACGCAAACGCAGGGCGAAAGACGCGGGTGACGCCCGGTTCGGGCCTCTTGCTGGGAGGGCTTGCGTTCAGCCTACCGCTGGGCCCGCGTGGGATCCTCGTGAAGTGTGGTGGTGGGCGCGCGTGCCGTTTCATGCATGCATGTACGGACGCGGCGCCAGTAAACGGATAGGCTGGCAAGCTGGCAGTAGGATTGGGATGCGTCGCTGAGGTAGGAGGAGAAGGAGGAGGAGGAGGGCATGGAAATGGGAACTGCTGGGGCAGAAATGTACCGGATACTAGATATGACAGGCGTACGCAATGGAATGGTTGGTAGCATGGGGTGGGGACCCGAGCAGCTGGGTAGGAATGACGATGATCCTCCCCCCCTCTACTTACCTACCTTAGCTTGCTAGCATAGGAACGAGGGATGGTAATTTGGCTACGAGAGTGAGAGCGAGAACAACCTACCGGCATACGAATGGAAGTATCCGTAGGTATGTACATAGAGAGAGAGAGAGGGGCAGAGGTGGAAGACTCCGCTGGCGCGTTTACTTTCCCACGTTGTTTGAACCTAGGCCGGCCCGCCTTTTCATCCCACCCCTTGCTTTGCCCACGTTATGTTTCCGACTGTCACTTATTTTTTTCCCCCTCCTCCCACGGTGTGTTTGTACATCAGAACTCCACACCTCCTTGTTCGGTGGCTTGCTGGGGAGGGGTCGGTTGACGAGCTGACGGCGGATACTGGGCAGGGAGTTTTGATACCCCCTCGCCCGGGTTGAGAGGGCTGTCATGTTTTGTATTGAGGATGCATTAATAGAGGTCAGACAGACGTTTGGGATGGAGGGATGGAAACGTGGGAGCTTTGGGAAGAGGTGTACGGAGTACCTTACCTTATGATTTGACGTATTGGGTGCTGAATGGGTGGGGTTTTCACGCTGCGGTTGTTCGACACCTTTGTGGGGTGGAAGAGAGATTGATTGGAGCTGTTCGACAAATGACTTGAGGGAGCCGATGCATTTACGACTAATAGAGGAAAAGAAGGCTGTGGTTTCCGTGGTTGACTATCAGATATCTAGTACCAGGTTCAAGAAGCTTCGTTGTAATGTGAAGAGACAGCGGCGACGGCAGTTACTTGAGAACCCGGTTGATGGTAATGATGCAGCGTCAATCAATGATCTTCAGCCGTAAAGCAAAGTGACCGCCCACTTGCATAGGTAACAACTCCATTTGCTATCTAGCTTGCACACCATATCCGCACTTGCTCGCAAGTATTTGAACACATTGTATCTGGAGCAAAGTCCATTCCTTGTTCTCACTTGTCGTACCCGTTCGTATGGATACCTTGCCTGTCTTCTAATTAGGCAAGGTACCTTAAGGTACAGGTAGGTAGGTACTTAGGTAGTGGTAGGACCTCACGACTCGCGATAAGATAAGGTTCGACGCTCCCACCTTAGCGAGCGAAAATCTCAATTGAACGGCTCCGCGGTCGGGCGAAATTCCACCGGTCAGCCCGCCCGCCGTCCATCACATTGCAACCTTCCGTCCCGTGCTCAGAACTCCACATAGCACCGGTCTCACTGTGAAGTTGCTCTTTCGTCAGTTTTCTGTCTTCAGCTTTGCACGGGGACTCGGCGATCGAAATTACGGCCGGGTGGGTTACAATTCACTCGTTCTCTCTCTCCCTCTTCGTATTCTCTCGTCTGGCGCCACAACGTCACAACGTCCCAGAGCACCTTTCCGGTGCCGTCTTACCTGACAACCTCCCCGACGACGAATACGCAGCCATGTTTGAGCTTCCTGACGCAAAGAGGTGAGGCGCAACCATTACCTCTCCTGTGACCCTCCCCCCCCTTGCGCCTGCAGCAGCGCTGATCAGAACTTGGCACGAAACAGAGTCCGGCGAGAAGACCTCGGGGAGTCGTCCGACGATGAAGGAGCGGACCACGACGAGCAGCAAAATGCGGACCTCCTGGCGAAGCTGCATGCCCGTATGGCGGGCATGCTCGACCTAGGCGACGACGCCGACGCCGACGCGGCCCCGACAGAAACGATCGAGCAGCAACCAGCAACAGCGGCGACGAGCGGAGAAACGGCCGAGAATGACGTTCAAGAAGACGAGCCCGAAGAGTTTGAGTTCCGGCTCTTCACCACGTCGAACCCGGCGACAAAGATTGCGCTGGTCGACGAGGACGAGCGCGCGATGGCGGGCGACGGAGCCATGATCCGCAAGAGGCCGCTGTCGTACTACATCGCCGGGGAGCCGACGCCCGAGGTGAAGGCGGAGCTCGCTTTCGCGGCGGTGTCGGGCGAGGAGGTTCTCGAGCGGGCGCAGAGGCGGTGGTGGGGGATGGAGCAGCCTTGGCGGGTGACGACGACTTCTGGTACCGGGGTATCGTCAAAGGGAACAGCAGGAACAGCAGCAGCAGCAGAAGGAGATGCTGGGAAGACAAAGGAAGAGGCGGACGCGGCGGCGGCGAGGAGGAGGCGGCCTGGGAAGAAGAAGCGTCTTGCGATACGGGTCAAGCAGCGGGAGAGGGTGAAGAAGGCCGAGGAGCTGGAAAAGTTCAAGGCCGGTAAGGAGGAGGCGCTGAAGGAGAAGAAGAAGAGGCTGAACCGGTTGAAGAAGCTGAGGAAGAGGGCCAAGGCGAAGGAGGGGAAGAATGGGGGCGGCGAGGGTGGTGGTGATGGTGGTGAGTCGGGGTCTGGATCTGACGGTGATGAGTGAGGTATCTGCATGACTGTCTGTGGTCTTGAATCGATAGCTAGGTCATCATGAGCGTGCTTTGTTAGACGTTCCCTGTTGCAGAGGGAATTGGACAGAGTCTATTTGAGAGGGCATGAGGGCATTGTAGTTCATGCGTGACATCTGTGGACATCCTTTTCTTTTCATGTCTACAAGGTGTCCATCACGGTTGGATCTTGCGGCGAAAGAGCTCTTTGCATCATGGCATGTAGCAGAAGTGCAATGCTTCAGAGCGCTGGAACTCCAATATGTGACCTGCTAGGTTCGCTAGTAGAAGCAATTGTAGATGCCCATGACAACACCATCGACTACCAACAAGCGCCAACTTAAGGAAACTAGCTATATATATTGAGGCTCTTTGGGTACCCATTTCCTGCCGGCGAAATTCTTCAAAGGTCTATCAAAACCATCTGCATGACGTGCAAGACTTGAAATGTGCCCCAGCCAGTCAAGACTCGCGCATTACCGGAACAGCACTCAAGGGAGGCGACGCGACGTGAATGGCTCGCGAGGTGGGGCCGGGGAGAGCACTGACATACCGGCCCGCCAATGGATGCAGGAGCTCCAGCACAGAGCTCCCCCGTCTTTCCTGGTCGAAAAGGAATGTCCCGGCAGCAAAAAAATTTCGAGGACGCCGACTCCCATCAGACGATACCTCATCAACCTCCTTCCCCCCCTACCTCACCATCACAAAAGCCGTTGTCGACAACGAGCCATTCCATCGTCCATCTCCTCTCTGTTCATTCTTCTCTCTTTCTACTGTACTATTTAATACCCACAGCTGCCAAAATGTCCGCCTCCCTGAGATCCGTTGCGCCGTTCTTCCGGACGGCGCGCGCCTCGCTGCGCCAGGGCAACGTTAGCCCCCTTCAGGCCACTCTGAAGAGACAGAACGTCTCACCCATCCTCAACGTCTACCGCACATACGCCGTCTACGAGCGGACAAAGCCTCACGTCAACATTGGTATGGGCACCTGGACGATCAATGCGTGGGAAATGTAGCTAATCTGGGGGAACCTCTACAGGTACTATTGGCCACGTCGATCACGGAAAGGTACACATCAAGCAAGACCTGAGAGGGTTGTGCCAATGCGCGATAAATACTGACCAAACTCCCAATAGACCACTCTGTCCGCCGCCATCACCAAGAGACAGGCCGAGAAGGGCCTCGCCAACTTCCTCGAGTATGGTGCCATTGACAAGGCTCCCGAGGAGCGCAAGCGTGGTATCACCATTTCTACTGCCCACATCGAGTACTCGACCGACAACCGCCACTACTCCCACGTCGACTGCCCTGGTCACGCCGATTACATCAAGAACATGATTACTGGTGCCGCCAACATGGACGGTGCTATCATCGTCGTTGCCGCCTCCGACGGTCAGATGCCCCAGACCCGTGAGCACTTGCTGCTTGCCCGCCAGGTCGGTGTCCAGAAGATTGTCGTCTTCGTCAACAAGGTCGACGCCATCGACGATCCCGAGATGTTGGAGCTTGTCGAGATGGAGATGCGTGAGCTTCTCAGCACCTACGGCTTCGAGGGTGACGAGACCCCCGTCATCATGGGTTCCGCCCTCATGGCCATGCAGAACCAGAGACCCGAGATTGGTCAGGAGAAGATTGATGAGCTGCTCAAGGCCGTCGACGAGTGGATCCCCACCCCTACCCGTGACCTCGAGAAGCCCTTCCTCATGTCCGTTGAGGATGTCTTCTCCATCTCTGGCCGTGGTACCGTTGTTTCCGGCCGTGTCGAGCGTGGTCTCCTGAAGAAGGATACCGAAGTCGAGATTGTCGGCAAGGGTGACCAGATCATCAAGTCCAAGGTCACCGATATCGAGACCTTCAAGAAGTCTTGCGAAGAGTCCCGTGCTGGTGACAACTCCGGTCTTCTCCTCCGTGGTATCAAGCGCGAGGATATCAGCCGTGGTATGGTCGTCTGCAAGCCTGGCACCGTCAAGGCCCACTCTAGCTTCCTCGTCTCCCTCTACGTCCTGTCCAAGGATGAGGGTGGCCGTCACACCGGTTTCCACGAGAACTACAAGCCCCAGATGTACCTCCGTACTGCCGACGAGTCCGTCACCCTCACCTTCCCCGAGGGAACCGAGGACGCCAAGAACAAGATGGTCATGCCCGGTGACAACGTCGAGATGGTTGCTCAGCTGCACCACCCCTCTGCTGTCGAGGTTGGCCAGCGCTTCAACGTCCGTGAGGGTGGACGCACCGTCGCCACTGGTCTCATCACCCGTATTCTGAAATAAGGGATACTCGCCGAAAATATCTCAAAACTAGGTGAAACGGCACCCAGAAACACAACTTCCCCGACATGAAATGGGAACCCGGATGGTGAAAAAAATTGGGATTGTACAAAAAAAGGAGTTGGATTGCTTCACGATTTCATGTACAACCGACCCAGAGTTTTCCGCTTTGAGCCCTCGAGCTCGTGTATATTGTCGGGGTTTGGGCTCAAAGATCTCCGCTCTACTTCACCCCCTTGTCTTTGAATCATGTACTTTTAGAAGACGATGGACAATAGAACAATCTGTGCTTTGTGCCACATGACAATATTGATACCACTAGCCCATGTCAATGCGTGTATGCTCACTTGATATGTCATCGTGTTACTTGATAAACCTCGAGTCATCAATTACATCCCCAGAACTTGAAGGGCCATACTAGCTAGCTGCTTGGTACCCAGGCGTCGCGCGGTTTCACAAGCTACAGGTGAGTCGTGCCGTCTTCACGCGCAGCTCAGCTCAGTCTTTCTTTGCTTGATATTGAGGGCCCCAAAATTTTGGATGGTGGTAAAAGGTTCAATGTCGTGGTATTCGTCTATCCTCAGTTGGACGTCCGACGGATTTTTGCACTTTCCGTTAAGCCAGCCATAAGAACTCCAATTGCCCTTGGAAGCCTTCCCTCTTGTCTGAATGCATTTTTCCACGGGCCACTCATGCCCAACCACCTTCACCAAGTTCCCATCCTTTGCCGTCTCGGAGTTTTGGACAATTTAACGGTACTGTAGAATAGCAGGCTCGGGTTAGCGGTTTGCGCTTTCTGAAAGTCATGGCCGAGTGAGGGGTCAAAGGCTCAGGCCATAGTCGATCGTAGGTTCCGGGGGTTATTTGTATTTTGCATACCTTGTTGAAGCCGATGTCCTTGGCCTTCTCACGGAAGCACTGACGGCACAGGTTGAGGTCGTACTTGCGGATGAGACCGGCGGTGTGCTTGCAGACACGGCTATAAAAAGTGAAAATGTCAGCATTTCTGCTTCCTTTCTATGCGCCTTTGCGCGCGCGGGCGCGATCCAATATTCCCGATTCCATCTCCTTCCATCCAAAATCTTTCGCTGAGAGAGAGAGGGTTTTGTTCGTACCAAGAGCGGGAGCCCTTGCCGTAGTTGCGGGGGCGGGAGTTCCAGACAGACTCGTGAGACATGATGGCGGTTGTCGAGCGGGTGGGCGGTGTCGTCGAGAGGGTGGTCGGCGAAAACTCGAGATGGTTTGGCTGTGGTTGGATTGAGGACGTCTGGCGGAAATTTTTGTGCGCCTGTATTTTGCTGGGGCTTGGGTCAGGGTGGGTTGGAGCCCCCTTCGCTTCTGGGGGAAGTCCGTGCTCCGCTGATGCACGTGATGTAGATAAGATAGTCGATAAGCTTTGCTGATAAGATTTCGCCCCCCTGCTTTCTAGTGGGGCCCTTCTGGGAACGCCGCTTGTTGGAGAAGGAACAAGGGACTGAGCTCTTCTGTGACGTTGGGGGACGACCTGCAAAGTGGCTTCTTTCCCAATTCCTTCAACAGCTGATTTCAAAGCATCGGTCTGCACCACCATTATTCCTAACTGCTGATATCTTCTTCAGCAGCTTGATTTTCTTTTTGTTCGTCGAGATACCACATAGCCTTCTTTATCTCCCCTCGTCCGATTCAATCAAGCAACTATGGTCGTCCTCAAGAGCTTCGTGCTCGGCGCTCTGGCAGCTACCGTTGCCGCTAAGTCTGCCGTGCTTGACCTCATTCCCTCCAACTTTGACGATGTTGTCCTCAAGTCTGGCAAGCCCACTCTCGTCGAGTTCTTTGCTCCCTGGTGCGGCCACTGCAAGAACCTTGCTCCCATCTACGAGGAGCTTGCCACCGCCTTCGAGTCCTCTAAGGATGTCCAGATTGCCAAGGTGGACGCCGACGCCGAGAGAGACCTGGGCAAGAGATTCGGGATCCAGGGATTCCCTACTCTCAAGTGGTTCGACGGCAAGAGCGACCAGCCTACCGACTATAAGGGAGGTCGTGATCTTGAGGCCCTGAGCACCTTCATCACGGAGAAGACCAGTGTCAAGCCCAAGAAGAAGTACACCCCGCCCAGCGCCGTTAACATGCTCACCGACGAGTCCTTCAAGACCACCATTGGCGGCGACAAGGACGTTCTCATTGCCTTCACTGCTCCTTGGTGCGGACGTAAGTCTCAAGTTTATCATCCCCCTTGTTCTTAGCCGACAATGCTGACCTGATGTTCCTCGACAGACTGCAAGACCCTCGCCCCCATCTGGGAGACTGTCGCCCAGGACTTCGTCCTCGACGAGGGCGTCGTGATCGCCAAGGTTGATGCCGAGGCCGAGAACAGCAAGGGCACTGCCGCCGCCCAGGGTGTTTCTTCCTACCCCACCATCAAGTTCTTCCCCAAGGGCTCCAAGGAGGGCGAGCTCTACACCGGCGGCCGCAGCGAGGAGGACTTTGTCAACTTCATCAACGAGAAGGCCGGCACCAACCGCAGCCCCGGTGGCGCTCTCAACGCCATCGCCGGTACCATTGCTTCCCTCGACGAGATCGTCGCCCAGTACACTGGTGGCACCAGCCTGTCCGAGGCCGCCGCCGAGGCCAAGAAGCAGGCCGAGACCCTCAAGGAGAAGGCGCAGTACAAGTACGCCGAGTACTACGTCCGCGTCTTTGACAAGCTCAGCAAGAGCGACGGCTATGCCCAGAAGGAGCTTAAGCGCCTCGACGGCATCCTCTCCAAGGGTGGACTCGCCCCTGCCAAGCGTGATGAGATCACCAGCAAGACCAACATTCTCCGCAAGTTCCTCGAGAAGGTCACCGGTGAGAAGGAGGAGTTGTAGTGAACTCCATCAGCAAGTTTTCAGACGCATCTTGAACTCTGTGTTTGGGGAGGTTCTGGGAGGTTGAAAAGCAAGCAACATGCAACTGAGCGTGTTTAGCTCCAGTTGGGATTGGTAGTCTAGGATACCGATGATGATGAATAACAATAACAAATATAACTCAAGTCTGCCTCGTGGAACCCGACCATCATATGTAGCTCCTGTGAGGTTGTCCCATGAACCCTAACGCCATCGGCATGCGAACCACCTGCCTCGTGAAGTATGCCATCAAGAGTCTGATTCAAGACGATTTGGACGGGCCGGCGTCCTTCTCCTTGTTAGCTAGAAGAGCCGCCTCAAGGTTGTCAAGGCGGCGAGACATTTCGTCCACTGTGTAGCTTTAGTACGTAGTATAGGAATATGAACTGAGTTTCATCTTCTCGGGGAGTGCCTAGACTTACTCTTTGCAAATATCTCACTTGAGACGCCGGCGAACTTATTAGAAATTGTGTTGAGAAGTTCCTCGACGGCTGCGTTGACGTCGGTCTTGGGATCCTCAGAGATCTGTGAGGTTCTTCGAGTCAGTTTATGGGAGGCCACACACATGACTTTGTTTGCCGCCCTGGGTCTACCGAAGGCCAGGCGACGTGCCAAAGGCATAGTGAAAGGTGAGGTAACTGACCGCAGACTGGTTTGCGCTCGAGTCGGGGTTGTTGGAGGCCATTGTCAATCTGCGAGAGAGGCTTTGACTTGTAAAAGGTAGAAACCGCGTGCAAATTCCTCAACGTTGTTGTTTACTTTGTATTGCTTGTTTTCAAGATACCGTCGGCGGGGTTGTGAGCCTTGATGTTGCCTGGCTGGGAGGTATGAGAGATGAAGCGGTCCAGGTTTGGCGGGGTTCAATGTGTTTGCGCTGTTGGTTCCAGTAAACATGCAATGTGGAGGGGCCAAGATGCGCACGCGGAGGCCAGCTCTGGAAGGTGTCTGCTACGGCATGCAGCGTTAGCACCAGGGGACGGGTACCTATCCATCCTCCTGTGGGGCCTGCCTAAGGCGATAAGACCCGACGACTGAAGCACCCCCGGGCTCCGGTATCCGTCGCGCCGTCAAACGGTCCGCTTTCAGCAACTTGGCTGATGCCGTCATCCGTCTTCAAAGTTACTTTTCGGTCTACAGTGTTCAGTTCATCCGTACATCGTCGCCCATTCCCGATTGCTACGCTACAGACATTCTTTAATTGTGTCCCCCTTTTGTTCGACCAACGAGGCTTCCTGCAATAACCGACACCCGCCGGCCAGAGCAGCAGAGCAATGGCCCCGAGTCAAGCGGCATAAGGCACGCCGCACACCATGCCCAGTCCATACCGAGACCCGCGCCTCGTCTTCCTCGCCCTCGCCTTCGTCGGCGTCTTCTGGATCCTCCTTTCCCCCGGCAATGGCGGCGCGTCTCTCTTCTCCGCCTCGGACCTGGCGATCCAGCGCCTGCGACGACACCAGCACGCTCTCGACCTCCTAAACACCTCGACGTACGGCGACTTTTCACCGCGCGAGAACGGCACGTCCGAGGACCTGGTCCCTAGGTCGCTCAACCTGACGGGGTTCCGCCCCGAAGACGGGTTCGCCTGGGACGATCTCGAGCGCTTTCGGGAACGCTGCTTGGAATGGAGCCACAACGCGATACCGCCCGTCGGCGGGGTGAACCTGTGGGACATTGGAGAGGGAGAGCCGGTGTGGCAGAACGCCACGGGCGCGGTCAAGGGGACCTGGATCCGGAGGGGAGCGACGTCGAGGAGGGAGTGGACGAACTACAACCTGAGCGCCATCACGCCGAGCCTGCATTGGAGCGGCACGCAGTCAGAATGGGCCAGGAACATCACTGGAGACGAGGGCAAGATCTTGATGGACCTCGTCGACACTGGTAAGCACGGGAGGGAACTGGATTACCGCAGCGACTTCGAGGACGACGAGGGCCCCTCGTCTGGCGGCAAGGTGCGCAGTGCAAAAGCGTCCATTACCATTGAGGATGTCAAAGGCAGCGGCGTCAACTGGGAAATGAGGCTACATGGTGTCCAGTGGCCTCGTCAGGGGACTATTCTGTTGACGACGACCAGCGAGAAGTTTGACGGCATTTTCGGTTTGCCGCATCTAGCACCCAGCTTAGACTTCTTCCAGTCGAGCCAGCGGCTGCTCAATCTGACCCTCGCTGAAGTGCTTCGTAGAAAGGAGAAGGAGGTGTTCAACGATGGCGTGATGCCGTGGACTTCGGACCTGTCGAACCCACCGGATACGCTCAACCCGACGCCGCATTGCGAGTACATCATGTACGCCCAAGTCCATCCGCCGGACAGGAACTTTCTAGACATGAAGGGTTTTCACCCAACCAGGGAGGGTATGGCAAGGATCATCAGCGACATTGAGCAAGAATTACGATTCCCAGAAGGCGCGCCCATTCGCGGCGTCCCAGAGCTCCAGCTCTCAGCCGTCATTTGGTCCCCAGACTGCGCCTTCTTTCTCGAGACCAAGGGGCCGCCGGATTTCGCGCCCGTTGATGGACAACATCTTCAAGGCATGAAGACGGAGATTATCTACCACAAGATCCGTGTATGGATCCTCCTCTTCGCGATGGTGATCCTCACGCAGGCCCTCCTCCTCAAGCAGCAGATGAAGGAATCGGCTACACCCTCAACGATGGGTCGCATTAGCTACTCGACCATCAGTATGATGGTCATGGTAGACGGCGGCATCTTCGCCGCGGCGTCCATGTGGGCTTTGGATGCGAGTATCACGTACCTGGAGTCACTTTCGCTCCTCTTTTCAGCGTTTCTGTCCATGTCACTCGGCGGCTTCTTTTTAGCGGAAATTCACAAAGTGCAGGAGCCTGAGAACAGAAGGCGCGCCGAGAGGGAGCAGCAAAACGCAAACAATGAGTCGCCGCGCACACCGGCGACGCCTGCGCAAGATCTCGAGACGGACTCCCTCCCTCGGCCCGTCACCGCAGGGCCTCGCAGGAGAGCACCCTCGCCTCCGATTATCATTCCCTCAGATCAGGATATTGACGCGGAGATCGCAGACGCCGCGAGTGGTGCGGCAGCCGTACCGACAGCGGGCACCGGCGCGGGGGGCGGCCATCGCATCGGGCCCGAGGTTACGTTCCAGGCCGTCATATTCCGCTTCGCCATGACCGTGTCCCTCATCCTCCTCGTCTCCATCGCCTCCACGTCCTGGTACCCGCGCGTGCGCAACTTCTTCGTCAACAGCGTGGCCCTCGTCTACTTCTCCTTCTGGGTGCCGCAGATCCACCGCAACATCATCCGCAACTGCCGCCGCGCGCTGACCTGGCAGTTTGTCATTGGCCAGTCCGTCCTGCGGCTGCTACCCTTTGCCTACTTTTACGTCTACGAGAACAACTTCCTCTTTGCCGAGACGGACCGGCGCGCGTTCCTCGTCTTTTGCGCGT